TACCCAGTACATGGACCAGTGCAGGTTAGGTGCAGGTAGACATCAGAAATACCTGCACAGCTCCAATTTTACCTGCACTAACCTGCATATACCCAGTACATGGACCAGTGCAGGTTAGGTGCAGGTAGACATCAGAAATACCTGCACAGCTCCAATTTTACCTGTACTAACCTGCATATGCAGGTGGGATTTTGAGCCCCACCACCTCAATATGATACAGATCTTGCAACCACTAACAGTAACACTCCGTCCTCTGGCAAGCCTGCTCTCTACGGTATACTATATAAAGGATCAAAAGAACTGACACTGGCCTAAATTGGTTTGTACAGTTTTACATTGCTTTACTGTATTTTGTGTCCAAGCTGTGCTGCTGGGACATTTCTTAGTGGCTGCTGTGTTCTCGGTTAGTGTAAAAGATTTGAAAATGGACTCCTGCCAATATTATTGATAGTGACATGTGGTTTCATGTTCATACTCATTTCACAAAACGTAAAATTGTCTGTTACAAGGGGTTTGCATGGATTCACATGGTCATTTTACCATTTTGCCATAAACATCATTTCATGGATACCGTAATATTCTTTATGTTTGCGGTAGCAAAATACGCCCTCAGAACTATATGTTCACAGTGGCGACATGTACAGAAAAAAGAAAGTCATCAACAGAAATGGTAAGTTTGCGGTACATTAATTGACTGTGAAAGCCGTGAACATAAAAATTTAAAGTATGCGAAAAAATTGTTAAATACAGTACATAACATTACCAAGAATATGTAGGTAATTTTTTTATTGGCAATTGATTATTTGGTCCAATATACTTCTAATTTAGTAAGTACTCAATAACAATGGCTTCAAAGGAATACCAGTCACTATTATAGCTACTTAATTGTGAATAATTATATCAATAAATGGGGTTAATTACCTTAATCCCCATAATAACAGTATGTCATAAAATATCTTTGATGTCCAACAGGATTTAACATGTGATGATTCAAGATTTATTTGGTTATGCATATAATTACCTTGATATTTTGTTTAGGATATTCTATGACTTCTCTATTTTTTGTGGCTTTTAGGCCACACCAATTTAATTTGTTGGTTCTCGGATTTTTTCAGAAAAAATATGAAGCGACAGGGCGAAAAAAAATAAAATAAAAACAGGTCTAGGCATCCTATTATAGGCTTAAATGCTACAAAATGAGCCATGAAGTCAACACAAAAGGCTGGGTTAAAATTTAAACATTGAATTTTGAACTTTTAATCAAACCACTGCAATTATAGATGGGAAAACTGGAACAACTAGGAAGAAAAGGACTTTCCTCAACTGTTGGGGGGCAAAACATGAGCATTTTTCAGTTGATTCAGGACCA